ATTCAATAGCCATGATTATTATTTTAAAAAGTTTTCATTAGGATTAACATTGATGAAAATTCAACGCAAAGCGACACGCAACGGAGAAAAATTTCAACATGGGATAGGTTAATATATTTTTTCGTACATAATCGGTTATCCGAACAACCTCAGTCCCCAATTGATTCGGATAAACAAAGCTCTACTGTAATACATGTATCATAACATCATTCGTTATAAAAACAGATTTTAGCTTTATTCATTATTTTTAAAATAATTACAAATTTAAGTTTTCATCAAATATAAAATTGCTCTTACTTTTATAGAGGAGGACAACTATTTTCTGGAATACTTTCATAAAGTTCATGTTATCATAGCAAAATTCTTGAACCTTCACAAGAAGGGCTAATTCTGCTTTGGCATTTTGTGTAAATGCAGAAAGCAGAGAAGTATATTGACGAAGATGCTTCAGTGCCTGCTCGGCAACCAATTCTTCCTTTTTATTCCATTCAACAATAGCCATCAATGAAGTCCATAACTAAGAATGAAAATGTTTGATTCAAATTTGAAATCTAATTTCAGAGAAATAAAAATTTAATTCCTTCTAGACATAACTGAATCTAATTAAAAAAAAAGGTCCTACCAAGACAGCAACGTCGGGTTCGGGAAGAGAATATTTAATCATATATTCCTTCACAATAGGAATGATTTCCTTCACACTAGCTTTTTCTTTCAATCGTGTGAAAACTTGTTGCTGCAATTCTTTTTTTACAAAGGAATTTTCTTGTGCTTTCTATATTAAAAAAAAAAAAAACTTGGTAATTAATCATTTTCAATATAATTTTTGGTTATTCAAAACCATACCTGATATTCTAAGAGCTGGGTTAAACCATGCAATTTAAAAGTTGCAATTAAATTCTCTTGACTACGTTTGCTTACCGGAAAGAATTCCTGTAATATAATCATCATATTATTATTGAAAAACATAAATATAACATTGATATTTATTAAATTGTGTACTGTTTGATAAGATAGTAACAAGAATCCCACTCTTTTTTGCAAAATGAAATTTCAGGACTTTTCAAGAGTAGCAATTAAAACTTCTGTGATATGTGAGAAAATACACAGCCATATCCCAGTATCTAAATTCCCATTATAACAAATGACATTCTTTAGTACCTATCAAAGGAATTAGCTAGAAATTTCTGTGTGTGGATCATCCATATGGCTGATAACTTGAGTAGACCTAGCATAGGTTGGTAGGCTACCATAAAAATAAAATAGCCCACGACAACTAGCAACACATTGTTATACTAGGAACAACCCTATCAGAAATGTAGCTCTTTACATGTCATTATGTAAACTAGTGGTAATTTATACATGACAATGATCAATAATAAAAAAAAAAAAAAGGCTGAACAAGAACAAATATTGAATTTTATTCTTTACTTCCTGGCTGTTCATACAGCTTAATATTTGAGTCTGTTTTCTGTTTCATCCAGTGGTCTATTTCACTGCTTGTGACATTCTTTTTTTTTTTACACTGTTTGCATTTAAACTTGAATGGAATAGCAGTGGTGGCTAGCAAACAGTGAGGGGCAAAAGAACATTAATATGGGAAATGCCACCTCGTGTGCCTGCTGTCAAAGAATCCAAATCAAATAACTTAAGTATTATGAATTTCTTTAAAGTGCATTTGTAAAAAACTTGAAATTTGCACTTGTAAAAATGAGAAGAGATTCCATTTCCCATCATCTATTTTTATTTGTTTCAGTGGCATATTTGTGTTATCCTGCAGTTGTACGGTTAACAGTTTTTATCACAAAATTTCAGTGCAATCTCATGAGTTTATTCTTAACAGTTCATTATTGTAGGTTCATTTATTTATTTACATAGTACTGCTTTTATACAGTGATATTTTAATATAAATATACTGTAAATATATCAAAGAAAATACAATTCATATACAATTCCTAATAGGGATATTAAACTTATTTGTTGAGTTTTTGCTTAAAAACATATCATTTTACTGACTCAAACTGCATTGCCAGGTTATTGAGGATTTCAGACTTGACTCATAGCCAAATTCTTGATATGGCAGAAATGGAGAAGCTCTGCTTTTGAACAACACAAAACAAAAAATAAATTGGCCAATCAGAGCAAATACATATTGTGAGTGCAGTATTATTATTAATTTGCAAATGGCAGCTTCCCTTTTTTAGGAAACTGTAAGACAATTGCTAACTTTTTACAATCAAACATAGCTCTCTAGAATCAATTATGCCCAGTGAAAAATTAACTAAAAATAAAAATCATATCTTGTTAAAATGGATATTGGGCAAGTTTAGACTATTTTGATGAATTCTGCAACCCATTCTTCAATGCAAGTGTTTTAAGTTTTGATGCTCTGACTAATTCTTCATAAAATCATACCACTGCTAATAAAAGCTTTGTAAACTTTTCTAGGATACAAAATTTCTGAGAGTGAAGTGACAGTAGTCAAAATACTTTGAGTCAAGCCCTTACTGTACTGTACATAAATAATTTTTTTGCATCTACTTTGTTGCAATGTTCTCTCCATAACCACTTGAACAAGCAATCCATTCAACTTGTTTTACTGACCATACAACTAATTCATCTGCTAGACTGATATAGCAAAATAATAAATAAGCTAGAAATAGAAATAAATTTTTAAAACCCTATTCTTACTTATAGAAAAGCACAGAGAAAATAGAAAAATTTCCATTTCTAAAGCACAGTGTGTCTAGAAAATATAATTTAAAACATTTAACTTCTCTGTTGTTATGTGCAAAAATTTAAAAATTAGTAGTATACAGAAAGATTCAACATGGCAGACACAATAAGAACATATGAAACAAAGATTGCTTACAACAAAACAAACACAATACTACACTAGAAATTTTTGAAATATATATTGATATTTCACTTAAAAAGTTCACAAGGCAAAAAAAAGTTGAGCATGAGCTATATGACTGCCAAATGACTTGCAATCACCTATACTACTGTCGTTTCTTGAAATTCTAATGTCATTCCAATGACATCAATACTAGAAATTTGAATTTCTGCTTTTTGCAAAAGATCATTCTACATTGTTGGAAAAAAAAATTAACACACAGAACAGTATTTTTCTTGGTTTTCTGTTTCTGTTTTTAAAGGAACCTATGATAATTCACTAATTTCCTGGAGAAGTCAAGGAAATGTAATCTAAATTGTCAACATACTAAATATACTTATTAATCAAGTGACAAAAATGTGTCTTTTGAAATTCCCAAATTTTTCTGGGATTCCAGAATTTGTGGAAACCCTGTGGTAAAGTAACAAAATGTTACTTCTAAAGTAAAAAGCTTTTAATAAATTAAAATCATTCATTACTTTTGAAAATTAAAAAAAGAAGGAATTGTAAATATTTAATTTAAACTTTAAAAATTTTACTTCTAAATTATCTAATTAAGAGAAATAAACATTCTTTCATTCCTAATCTAAATATATTGAGAGAGGCTAGACGAGATGAAATTTTTAATTAATTACAACAAAATATATAATTTATTTAGACTAGCACTTAAATTTCACATATTATAAAAAAGAAAATTTTCCCAACATTTAATAAAAAAAACTGGAAGGATGTGATCGTATCTTTTCCCAGATCTACTTCTTTTCTAAAGGTGACCATTTTCCGAATGAATGTGTCACTAGGAACTATCGTCCTAAATTCATCTATTGGTCTAAACCCTAAACATTACCAAAAAAGGGCATCAAAATCAAGGGGGAGGACCCCCAAAATATAAAGATGAACATTGCAACTGACAATGAGAGTTTGCTGACTGGCTCCTTCCCTTAAGTATAGTGTAACTGTGTTCCACCACCGATCCCATTGACTGCTGTTCCTGTCCNGAATTTTCAAATTTAAAATTTTAACTATCCTTTTTTGAAAACAGCATTTATGAAAGATATTTATGACTAACAGTAAAATGTTTATTTTAAAGCCAATTATCTATAATACTTTAATGAGACAATATATTAAAAATACAGGGGATTAAAAAAAGTCTCCATAAATTGATATATATCAAGTCCACCAGTAGCCAAATAAATAAAATCATTGGATATTTATTGGCAGTTGGTCATTAGTTCGTAGCTGACCAATGGGCTGGCCACCATGCAGTATTCTGGGTTTTCTTCACGTGTCTAACACCTAAACAGAATTCAGTTTCCACATAGGAAGTCCTGCTAGAAGTTACCCCATTGGCAGATCACCCATGTGTTCCATTGCTTTACTCCATCAATCCATTGACACAAATCTTCATGCTGACATTTTAAATGTTTTATGAATAAAGTTACATTTTACCTTTCTATGTATGGAAACTTTTGGGACACCCTGTAGTATATGTTAGTACTGTTAAATTTGTATCATTTGCAATGAATGTATTCAGTTATAATAATTCCTAATTAAGCATACTGGTTGGATGATACACAAGATAGCATGCTTATTGCTTTATTCAACTAAAATGTTTGTTTACCATCAGCACTAGTGAAAGATTATTGCAGTTTTTTCAGTATTGTGTTAATAAATTATCCTATCTTATTTTGTGTTTTGTTTGAATTTATAAATTTTCATAAATTTATAGCAGAGCTAACAGTGAAATTGGTTTGTGTGATAATTCAATAATACTACAATTGTAAAACTTTTACAGATAAAGATTTGAATAGTATTCTATCTCTCATTCTGATGACAATCTTACTTCTATCATTATCCGTATTTTATTTAAATTTGTGTTTTAACTTAACTGTAAATAATACTGAAAGGATATTTAATTTCATTCATATTTATATTATGAATAAAAATTTTTTAATACACAAGAGGGTGCAAAAGTAGGTATACAGTTGAGAATCTGAGAAATACAAATGTTTGGTGTTCTAATATAATTTAAATTTGAACGTGTTCGAAAAGCCATTCATTCGAACGTCATTAACCTGAGGATGGCCCATGAAATGGGTTGAAAACGTTTGTTTAGCTTAATAAATGTGCTTTCTCAGTAGTAAGGTGTGTTGACTTTATAATGTTCATTATTATTATTATTTTTATTATCTTTTATTAGTATATATTCCTTATTTGTGATTTAATTTGTACATAAAAATAAATGTTTTTTCCCCTCTATTTTCTCCCTGGATGATTTTTTATAACAACAACTGTATACCTACTTTTTCACCCCCCTGTATGTAAATATATATATATATTAATATATATAAACTTAACACATTGGCCAGGAATGACATTAATAATTTCTTCTATTTTTTAATTATTAATGTCATCCTGACCAATGTGTTAATTAATATATTTTTATTTCACTGTGCCATCACCCTGGAATGTTTTTAAATGTTTTTTTGCATATTAAGGCAGCTGAGTAGACTCCAATAAAAGGTTGACTTCAGTGGAAAAAAATACAGTTTTGTTCCTGAGGTGTGTAAAAGGACACAATAAAGACATTGATAATTTATTCTATTTGAAGTGCATTAAATGAAATTTCAGAATTTTAGACACATTTTCCTAGCTAATTATGAAAATGATGTTTCTTTAGTATAAATCAAGATTTATAGTTTCATGTTTTATCTTCTTGCAGCATTCTAAAAACCTTAAACAAAAAATAGTGCTTATAAATGAAGAATGGTATAATTTTATTCTGATTATAACTATAAAAAACATTTTACATTAATTATCGGTAACAAAAACTTACCAACAAACGAGTATCTAGCCCTGCTTTACGTAAAGCTCCCCATAATGAAGTGCTATCTTTATCTACAAGCCATGCTTGAAAGACATCCATAATAAATTCTAAGGCAATTCCTAAAAATATTGTATCAACTCATGTAACTATATATCCAACAGTTACTTGCATAAGTAAATAGAAAGTTTATCTTACCATCTCTTACTAAATGATCCTGCAATGTATTTGCAAGAACAGAAGCAGGTATTTGACCACCAGCTACTAGAATTGAGGTTACCTTTGCAAGTTTTCTTCTTTCTTCTGGGGTAAATCCTTTAAGGAAGACCATTACCTTAAAAAATCAAAAAATTTTCAGTTCAACATTTATTTAACCACATAAAAAATTAAATTTGTAATGTAATTTTACTATCTCAAATTTCAGTATAAATAAAGTATAATGGACCTTAGATTATAATTCTAATAAATTTTTACATAATTAACAAAAACTAGAATTTTCAAATTTAAAATTTTAACTATCCTTTTTTGAAAACAGCATTTATGAAAGATATTTATGACTAACAGTAAAATGTTTATTTTAAAGCCAATTATCTATAATACTTTAATGAGACAATATATTAAAAATACAGGGGATTAAAAAAAGTCTCCATAAATTGATATATATCAAGTCCACCAGTAGCCAAATAAATAAAATCATTGGATATTTATTGGCAGTTGGTCATTAGTTCGTAGCTGACCAATGGGCTGGCCACCATGCAGTATTCTGGGTTTTCTTCACGTGTCTAACACCTAAACAGAATTCAGTTTCCACATAGGAAGTCCTGCTAGAAGTTACCCCATTGGCAGATCACCCATGTGTTCCATTGCTTTACTCCATCAATCCATTGACACAAATCTTCATGCTGACATTTTAAATGTTTTATGAATAAAGTTACATTTTACCTTTCTATGTATGGAAACTTTTGGGACACCCTGTAGTATATGTTAGTACTGTTAAATTTGTATCATTTGCAATGAATGTATTCAGTTATAATAATTCCTAATTAAGCATACTGGTTGGATGATACACAAGATAGCATGCTTATTGCTTTATTCAACTAAAATGTTTGTTTACCATCAGCACTAGTGAAAGATTATTGCAGTTTTTTCAGTATTGTGTTAATAAATTATCCTATCTTATTTTGTGTTTTGTTTGAATTTATAAATTTTCATAAATTTATAGCAGAGCTAACAGTGAAATTGGTTTGTGTGATAATTCAATAATACTACAATTGTAAAACTTTTACAGATAAAGATTTGAATAGTATTCTATCTCTCATTCTGATGACAATCTTACTTCTATCATTATCCGTATTTTATTTAAATTTGTGTTTTAACTTAACTGTAAATAATACTGAAAGGATATTTAATTTCATTCATATTTATATTATGAATAAAAATTTTTTAATACACAAGAGGGTGCAAAAGTAGGTATACAGTTGAGAATCTGAGAAATACAAATGTTTGGTGTTCTAATATAATTTAAATTTGAACGTGTTCGAAAAGCCATTCATTCGAACGTCATTAACCTGAGGATGGCCCATGAAATGGGTTGAAAACGTTTGTTTAGCTTAATAAATGTGCTTTCTCAGTAGTAAGGTGTGTTGACTTTATAATGTTCATTATTATTATTATTTTTATTATCTTTTATTAGTATATATTCCTTATTTGTGATTTAATTTGTACATAAAAATAAATGTTTTTTCCCCTCTATTTTCTCCCTGGATGATTTTTTATAACAACAACTGTATACCTACTTTTTCACCCCCCTGTATGTAAATATATATATATATTAATCATAATTTATAATTTTTCAAATTATATATATATTTTTTTATTATAATATTGCATGCATGTATAAATATCAACTGTATTGAACACTGTAACTCAGATTGGATTCACAAACACCTCATATCATAAGTTAGCACAAAATCTCTTGTAAGTTTCCAGTTACAAAATGTCATGTAAATAACATATCTAAAACTCTCATAAGTCAATACAATGGCAATGATGATAATGTTAGATACTCAAATGAATCTTAATTTTTTTATTTTCTCATCTCATGTTCTTTCTGCTGCCATATACCACGGTGGTCATGTTGATTTGTCATCATAAGGTCCGACATCTAAAATGGACTTTCAGCTGTTTTGTTTTTATCATCATTAAGAAAAGTATTCATTACTATTTAACAAGATAAAATATTCACAAATACAAAAAAGTTAAAAAAAAAAAAAAAAAAAAAAAGAGAAAATAAATGAGGCTGTCTGCTAGATAACTTTGAAAGTACATTCGGTAGTCCAAATAAAATTTTGGTCGTCTGGTTGTTCCAGACAACTGCTAATTTTAAACCTGCATAATGTCATACATTATAATGAATAAAATATTTTTGTAACATTTTCTTTTCATTTACTGAAGTTTTTACAATTTGTCCATTCTTTCAATATTTCTATTAGTATAATCAAAATATCAGTTTTAAACAATTTTTGTTCCATGTTTGTATCTTACAGTATACTTTCTACCATCTTTTTTCTCTTTTTTTATATGCCATCTACAAAATGTTTTAATTTCAACAATATAAAGATATCTATTACCTTAGACATTGGAAATATGTGAAAAATAAAAAAATTCTGAAAATACAAAAGAACACTTTCTAACTGCAATGTTAAAAGGAAAATACGACACATGTTTTTTAAGTAAGTACCGTTTTAAAATAGGACCGCTGCAGTGCTACGATTGGTGTTCCGCGAATGTGTGCTGAATACCTACATCTGTTGGCTAGCCACAGATGCAATTACGAAAGCATTCATTCATTTTACATTTGTTTGTGTGTGTAAAGTCTTTTTGNAGCCTGAAACATACATGGCTTCAGTTGGGTAAGGTTTAAAAAACTGCTGCTTTGAAGAAATGTTGAAGCAAGCATCCTTTATTTGAATCAAAACTTTCACATCTGGAAATTAATGATAATAAACTATTCAATGATAAAAGCAACGTGTGCAGGTTTGCTTCAGCTGGCATGATATCAGGCTGGAACTCCAAACAAGCAGGGATTGATACCCAGTGGGGTGAAGTATTTTGCCATTTCCAGACAAAGTGTTCCCTGTCATCAAGAACAGAAGATAGTTTATAGTTTAGTGTAATTTATTCTCTGTCTACCACTGAAAGGATCTTCTCTCTCATAAATTCTGTGAGCATACATGAACAAGCAAAAAAAACTCAATTTACTGTCACAACGTTGAAGGCAATGTTTCTGGTAAAGTAACCTTGATGCATCTGTAATAGAAATTCATGTGAGAAACTGTATGAGGGACTTTTACAGTGGCCACATCTTATAAGAAAAATTCACTTGTCAATGAAATATTGAACAACATATATGCTTCCACAGTTCAGAGCACATCTGCTAGTAGGATTAAGGCAAGTCATAAGACAATTTGCAGTAGGATTGAGGCAAGTCATAAGACAATTTGAATTTAATTCAGTTTTTATAGTATCCTCATATTCTATTACCCTGAAATGTATTCTGCTCTAGTATCCACTGTAGTCAATTGTTAGTATACAAACCCACAAGTAACAAAATTAAAGGTTAAAAAAAATTTTAAAAATAAACCTCCATTGATTCAGTCTTGATAATCTCTATTAGTGGTCTGTTTGCCTACTATGTACAGTAGTGGCCAAAAGAAGAACTACCCTTGACATATGTTTTAAAAATGAGACTTCTATTTTGTTCACCACCTACTACATAATTAATATTGTAATAGTTGAAAAGAGTCAAAATACTCAATTGAATCAAACAGATTTTATTTTAAATCTGATTTACTAAAGAAAAAACAAACAATTTTTATATTTTACACTGTAACAAAAGTAGAGCTACCAAAGGAAGTATGCAGATTTGTCCAGTATTTTTAGGACAAAATATTAGTATTTTGTGGCATAACCAAAGCTTCTGATCACTGCATCACATCTACATTCCATTGAATCAACTAAGGTGTCAAGCAGTGATTTGGAAGTCTCAAACCATGCTTTTTAAATGGTAGACCATAATTCATCTGGATTCGAATATGTATGCTGGCATATACATAACTCAACTTTATCCCAAAGATTTACTATGGGGTTTAGGTCTGGCGATTGGGCTGGCCATGTCATAAGATTCACCCTTTTCTGTTAAAACCATTGCTTTACCAAATTTGCTGTGTGTTTTGATCACAATCATCAATTTTTAAACCCCCATTTCCTCTTAGTCAAGTCAGAACAGCCTAGATGGCAGATAATTTGGCAAAACAACCATCCTGCTTTCAATGGACCAATAATGAAACCTTTCTCAAACTCTGTCAACTGTAATATCCTTGACTGCATCAAAAGATATGCCTGACATTCAAACACCTCCAAATAACAGGTACACTTAGGGAGACAGATATTCTGATTTTCTACATTTTGTTCCGTCATCTTGAGAAAGATTGTTGGGAGAAAGACACTTAAATATCCCAAATTTTTTTATTTTTATATTTACATCACTATCAGTATATTTCAAGTGTTTTCATTTCATTATTTGAACAACTTCATGTGTCTTCATGAAATCAGCTGAGACAACTGCACCTCTATAATCTCACTAAATATAACATCAAACTGTTTTACAAAAATTACTACTGACGACAGCATTTAAAGTTATAGTTCATGCTACAACACCAAGTACATATTACAATTTTTATTGTTTTAGTTTACCTTAGCTTTACTATTTATACTCTTGAGAATATAAAAGTAAAGTAACCACAATAAGTGACATTTATTGTGATCAACAATTCAAAACAGTAAACTCCAACACATTTTAGTCATTTATTAGAATCATATTTTCAGATATTTTTGTATTATTTTCAAAGAACACAGTGATGATACATACTTTGTAGCATGAATTCAAGACAAGCAAAGATAAATGAATATTTTAAATTTAGCAGATTTCCTAGTATTAGTTAATTTTTCTCATTGAATTTTATACAATTATAAACAAAACAAAGTAGTTATATGACAGTAAAACATTCATTAAACTATTAAAATTACATAATGTTCAATAAAAAATAACCACTAAATGATCTTTTCTTATTGTAACTATTACTTTCCCAAAAGTTTCCACCCAAAAGAATTTTTTGTGTCCTGTTTGCATATTTATAATTTATGATCATCCTAGGTATACTGAAAATTCTGAACATAGTAAACCTCTGCAAGTCTTTATAGGATACTGAGGTAGCAATTTTAAGGCACTCTGAAGGCATTACATAGTATGAAACTGAATCACAACTGTAATAATTGACATATTTATATGCAGAGTTTCGTAATAATTAAACAATTGTTTCTAAGTGCCTAACTTATTTTGTCAATAAGCAACTGTGTGCAAAAGCATGCAAGCATGCATAAAAATGACTTGAAAATGAAATCATAACAATACTTATTAAAAATAAAATTAGGCAAAAATAAATAAGAATCTGTAAATTCTTAAAGCAATAGTTTAATAACAAACCTTTTTAAACTCATCTTCAAGTGTTTTCTCCAAATATTTATAACNAAATTAGGCAAAAATAAATAAGAATCTGTAAATTCTTAAAGCAATAGTTTAATAACAAACCTTTTTAAACTCATCTTCAAGTGTTTTCTCCAAATATTTATAACGACGTATCAACTTTGTAAAAACCTAAATAAAGTAGTTAAAATTATCCATCAATATTTATGAATAATAAATAATTTTAAATCATTTGAATAAACTTATTTAATAAATATTAATTTAATTATAATTATTAAACTTAATAAGAGATGGCACTTAATGCCTACCTCTAAGCCAAATTACTGGCTTCAATAATTGCCAGATTAAATCAGGCTACTTTCCACTATTATTTTTAATTAAAACCTAACACCTACCTCTAACACCAAATTATTTTGAATTTAATTAAAAATAATAGCAGTAAAGTAACCTGATTTAATCTGCTAGTTGTTTGGCATA